CCGCGCCGCCTGGGCTCGGGTCCCGGGCAGAGGCCGGCGAGGCGGGCGAGCCCGGCAGTGGGGGGCCTCGCGCCCCCGGAGCTGGGGTCCCGGAAGTCCTCGGCCAGGGGGCCAGCGTGATTCCGGACGGCGTCGTTCGGGCTCCCGGGACCCCGGCGAGGGGCCTGAACCGCCGGGGGTGTCCCCACCGGCGGGGTCCGGGAGCCCCGGCGCTTCCGCCAAAAACTGGGAGTGGCCCGGGTCCAGCCGGGGAGGGGGCGACGGTGCGGCGATCGCGGAGGCCGCGGGAACAGTTCAGCGGAGCGGCGGCGGGAGCTAGCGCAGAGAGGGGTTCCGCGGAGGAAGGGAGGGTCTGGCCGCCATCGGAGAGGCAGGCGCGCTGGAATCCCGGGCATTTAGCCGAGGGGGAAGGAGCCAGGTCCTGGGCTAGGGGGCGAGGAGGAAGCTCCTGGGGACAGTGAGCAGCCCTCGAGCTTCCCGCGGAGGCGGCTGCAGGAAGACTCCCGGAGCCCCCCGAAGTGGGGAATGAGAGGGTCCACCTGAGAGGGACGGGCAGCTAGTGCGCACCTCTTCTCAGGTAGTGAGCAGGGTGGTCCTGCCGGATGGGAAAACCTGAGATAAGTGAGGGGAAGACGAAGGCTTTCTACGTGGCCTGGGATTAACTGGCCAGGTGTCCTCTAATTGAGGAGCAGGAGAGATGAAGGCAAAGCCTTACTGAGGGTCTTAAAGAGGAGTCCACCTGATTTGATCTAGGGATGAGAAGGAGTCTTTTTAAGAGAAACCACAGACAGCTCCATAGAGACACAAGAGAGACGTTTAATGGGTTTCTTTAGGAGGGCCAAGAAGCAGAGATTTCCTGCATTTGAGCTGCTCCTTACCTCTGTTTGTAGATTTTCATGCGGTAGTTGCACTGTTCCTCCTTCCATGTCAGCCATATACATACTAGTTCTGCGTGTTTGCTGTCTGCGGGCTTATAGTGATTTGTCTTTTGTATTTACTTCAGCAAACACTTTTTGTTTGGTGGTACTGAGTATTGAACCCACACTACCAGTGAGCTACACCCGTAGTCCCTTCAGCAGACATATTGAATGTTTAACGTTACCGCTTCTTCGGGTTAGTTGGGACCTGGTTTGCTCTCCTGAACTTGCTTCTCCAAATACTTAGGGTATAGTAGGCGCTTCTCTGGGACTTGTCCAGAACTTCCTTTGCCCTGGATGTTTTCCTCGTGCTTGGTTCTGTGTAATCTGCCTTTTGGCCTCATGACCTCTGGTAGCACTCTAGGTCACCTACTAAATATCAGGAGGAATAAAGAATCTACAGAGTTTTGATCTTAATAAAGTTTTAACTTAGAAATTTCTTAGTATACTATAAGGTGTAAATGAACAGTAAGGGCGGGTCAAATAGCTCAGTGGATTAAAGGCCCTGCAGGGGCAGGGATTTATTGGCCAGCCTGCCATGCGGGCCCTGCCCCTGGGGCGCTCTGAGAGCGATTGGGAGGCTGAAAAACAGAAGGATCAGTATGAGTCTGATCTTTGTAGTAAGACCTTGTAGACCTTGTACTATCTACATTATAAAAAAAAGTTATAAAAAAAAGATAAAAAAGTTATAGTGTGGAGTAAATATATTCTTGAGTTAGAAGATTTCAGAATATCTGGTGGTTTTTCAACTACCGATTTTAATTTTCCTACAATCATGTGATGCTTGGTTTTTTTTGCCATATTTTAGCCATGGGTTTTCAGGAGGCACAAGAGTGAATTTAATTCAAACATGATCAGATATCACTCATTGACATGTGAACAGCTACGTGCTTGCTTTCACATATCTTGTCTTTGAAAATAGCTACTGTGTCTTGGTGTTAGGGATGGAGCTGAGGACCTAGACATGCTGAGCCTGCTCCACTGCTGAGGTATACCACTAACCCCCCAAATACTTCTTTTCATCTAAATTTGGCCATCTCTGGCTAGATATGGCAGTGCATGCCTGTAATCCTAGACTTGGGAGGATCACAACTTTAAACTCAGCCTGGGAAAGTTTTTTGTTGGAACAGGATTTTTTTTTTTTTTTTTTTTTTTAAATGTGTTTTGCACAGGGTTTCACTGTGCAGCTCGAACTCATAGTGATCCTACTGTTATCAGACTCTCCAGCGCTGGGATTACAAGCATGCGCCACAATGCCTGGGGACAGGGCCAGAGCCAGTGCGGCTTGTGGTGCTGGGGATCAAACCCAGTCCCTGCACTTGCCTACGCAGGCGCTTAGTGCACTGAGCTAGCTCACAGACCAGTGACAGGATCTTGTTGTGTAATTTAGGCTGGTCTTGAATTTACTATATAGCCCACTGTCCTCAAGTTTGAAGTGACCCTGCAGTATGAGGCTCCCGAGTGCTGGGATTAAAGGAGAGTGCCATCATGCCCAGCCACTTTGAAAATTTAGTGATTTAGGGGAAACCTCAAAATTAAGTTTTATGTAGCTGAGTGAGAAGGCTATTGTTCAATCTGGTATATACCATATTTCCTTAATGTGCATCCCCTAGAGTTAAATACTCTAAGGTCTCTTCCGTGAAATACCCAAAGGACCAACTCACTTGCCACAGAAGTTGTTGCTATAAACAAGAGGTACTTTTCAGTTTACTTCCAGCTCGAAGATGAGCTTGCATTTAGCCAGTGTAGTCTGTGGATCTGGTTTCAGGTTACTCAACAGAAATATGGTATTTAGGGTAATGAGAGAGAATTCAACCTGAACTTGCTTCTCTAGAGAATGTATGAATTGCCGTGTAGCGTCAGACCTGTGTCTCTGACAGACATTGAAGACTTTGTGGATGATTATAATTATCTTTCATAGTCTCGGGAGGTTAGAGAGACAGCCAGAACATTCCTGTCAGGTTCCAAGACGTGGGAGGGTCAGGAGCAAAGTATGAGTCCCTACTGAGGAAGGTACTCATCAAGAACTCCAGCAACCACTTATTCAGAATGTCATAGAGGGACTCAGTCTCAGGCTAAAAGGTTGAAATTAGAAGCATCCATCTATTTCTACTTCTATAAACCATCAATTTACCTAAGCTATTATTATTTTTTTTTAATTTAAAGCAAGTTTTAGGAATAATAATCTTGCTTGGGATCTCCCCCCCAACCCCCACCCCAGTGCTGGGGATAGAACCCAAGGCCTCAAACATGCTAAGGCGAGTGCTCTACCACTGAGCTACAACTTCAGCCCTAGGTTTTTTTTTCATTTATTTATTTATTGGTACTAAGAATTGAACTCAGTACCTTGTACTTGCCAGGCAAAAATAATAGAGTTTGGAAATTTCTTCTTTTGGTGTCAGTAATCGAATTCAGGACTTTATAGTTGCCAGGCAGGAACTATGCCACTGACCTATGCCCCAGCTCCAGTCCTGGGTTTAAAATTTTTTAGTAGTCTCTGAATTAAAAACAGAATTCTAGAGGGCCAGCCAAATAGCTCAATGGATTAAAGTGCGTGCAAGGGGGCCAGGGAGATGGCTCAGTGGAATAAGTGCTTCCCTGGCAAGCGCAAGGGCCTGAGTTCAATCCCCGGTTCTGCCAAAAAAATAAAGCGCCTGCAAGCAGGTGCAGGGGCCCAGGGTTGGATCCCCAGGCCTGCCTTGCCGCCCTCCCCCCCCCAGGGCACAGGGAGACAATTGAGACTGGGTGTGGTGGCATGCCTGTAATACCAGCTCTTGGGAGGCTGTAAACAGAATCACTATGAGTCTGATCTAGTAGTGAGACCCTAAACACCCTGTAGACCCTTCCCTAAAATACCAAAAATTAAATAAATAAAAATAAAGATCTAGTATTTATAGGGTGGTGATGACCTAGCCTGAAAACCCAACACTCTGGAAGGTAAGAGGATCTCCATGAGTTTGAAGCCACCCACTGTGGGCTACATAGGGAGTTCAAGGCCAGCCTGAATACATAATGAATGAGAGCCTATTCCCCTGCCATGCTCTCCCCCACCAAAAAAAACAAGCACTAGTGTATGATGATCTTATGGGCTTTATTACTACAAAAATATACTTTAAAAAAGGAGGGGTCAGAGAGATGGCTCAGTAGAGTAAGCTCTTCCCTGGCAAGCACAAGGGCCTGAGTTCAATTTCCAGTTCTGACAAAAAAAAAAAAAAAAAGTTTAGATAATTTAGTGCCTTACAGAGGCAGAATTAGAATGACACTTATAATTTCAATCTTTATCTTTTAGCCCGAGACTGAGTCCTTTCTATGACATTGTAAGTGATCAGTTGAAGGAGTTCTTGGTGAATACCTTAAGGACTCATATTTTACACCTTTTCCCTCCTATACCTTGGGAACCAGGAGGGGTATTCTGGCTGTTTCTTTAGTAACAGAATAGTGTTTGACAATTAATGAGTAGCCTGTAAATGTTACCTGTGATTATTACTTTAATTTACTCTAGTTTTTTGATTGACTTTAAAGATAACTGTTGGTTCATTTATTCTAGAATTTGATGGCATTTGTGTGTATATATATATTTTTTTCTACTAATGGATTTTGAACCCAGCAAAGTCTTGATAAGTTACTAATTTGCCCATTCTAGGCTCAGACTAGTATCCTCCTGCCTCAGCCTCCCAGAATGTTGGGATTACAGGAGGTATGCACTTTTTTTTTTTTTTTTTTTGTGGAACCAGGGATTGAACTAAGGCTCTTGCACTTGCCAGGGAAGTGCTTCTTCCACTGAGCCATCTCCCCGGCCAGAGGCATGCTCTTTGGACCTCTTCTAGAGTTAGGATCCAAATTGCTTGGTTATATTGCAGATAGTCAAATGAGCCATGTATTCATTGTCTCTCTTTTTTCTTCTAGTTTTAAACCTTTAACTTAAAGTTCAGATTGTATACTACAATATTACATAATTGATTTTTTTCATCTATTATATAACTGTCATGGATCGCTTTCCTCTTCTTGTTTTATATTTTTTGTTCACTAAGATTAGCTGTTACCCCTTTCACATCAAAGGAACCTGACTCTTTGTGAAGTGGAATAAACTCTTAACTATTTGTTGGAGCTGGGTTTGGTGGTATACTCCCGTAATCCCAAAACTCGAAGGTTGAGGTAGAGAATCATCTATTGAGCTGCTCATAACGATGGGCTGTGAACTATGCAACTTAGCCTACATGCTTCCCAAAGTTTATATCCCCTAAATTAGGAAAGTGGAAAACTTTAGGAGTCTTTAAGGATAAGATGTCATTCATGGAAGAAAAATTTATTGTGTACTTGTTTTTTCTTTTCCTTTTGTGGTACTGGGCGTTGAATCTAGGACCTTCACATTGAGCTACATGTCCAGCTGTTTTCTATGTTTTGAGGCAGGAAGTATAGTTCAGTAGCTGAAGGTTTTTGTTTTGTGTTTTTCAGGTTTCTGTCTATTGATAGATGGATTGATTTCTTTTTTGTCTATTCATTTCTAGTTTTATTCCATTGTGATTGAAGGTACCCTCTAGTTTTGTGTTTTTGAGATAGGGTCTTACTATGTAGTTTGGGTTGACCTCTGACTTGATATGTAGCCCACGTTGGCCTCCTCCAGCCTGGCAATTCTCCTGCCTCAGTGGCAGTCCTGAGGATTGTGGCAATCCCGTCTCAGCCTCATAAGTGCTAGGATTATAGACATGTACCACCACTCCTAGCTTACATTTTATATTTATTTATTTATTTATTTATTTGGCGGAACCAGGGATTGAACTCAGATCCTTGTGTTTGCCAGTCAAGTGCTTATCCTACTGAGCCATCTCCCCGGCCCCTTACATTTTATTTTGAGATAATAATTTGCTAAATTTCTCAGGTCTTCCTCAAATTTGTAATCCTTTTGCCTCAGCCTCCCATAGTATTGTGATTGTACATATATACCACCATGTCTAGCTTATTGTATACTTGCTATATGCCAAGTTTCTTCAAGAAATGCAGGTAACTGGGCGAGGTGGCACACACCTATAATCCCAGCACTGAGGAGGCTAAGGCAGGAGGATCAACGAAAGTTCAAGACTAGCCTAAGCTACATAGTGAGTTCAAGGCCAGCCTGCATTACCTAGCAGGACCCTGTCTCAAAAAAAAAAAAAAAAGACCTTAGGTAAGCATTTTTGTAAATAGGTGTCTGATATTTGAAAGCCCATTAATTACACTCCTATGTCTGCACTCCTGTTTCCTGCATGGCACAGTGAAGCTACTGGATATGAAGAGCAGCCATTAACTGTGTACCTGCAATTGCAGCTACTTAGGAAGCTGAGGCAACAGGATATCAGGAGTTCAAGACCAGCCTGTACAATATAGCAAAACCCTGTCACGGCTGGCGGCGGTGGTGGTACATGTTTACAAATTCAGCATTCTGGGAGTCTGAGGCAGAAGGAGCACAAGTTCAACTCAGGCTGGGCAACTTAGTGAGACCCTGTCTTAAATTTAAAAATGGCTGGGGATGTAGTTCAGTGTGATATCCCTGGGTTTACTCTCTGGTACCACCACAAAACAAAACAAAATCTAAATGAAAAGGTAATGCTTTCCCAGGTGGGGAGAGGCTAACTCCTGGCTTGGGAGTTGTGATGGGGCACTATTGGAGCAGAGGGAGCAGGAATACAAGTTCAGACCTAGTCTAGGAAGTCACAGAAGGTTCCTCAAGGAATTGATGTTTTAAATAAGTAATGAGTCAGGACCCTCTAGTAAGGAAGGGAGAAAAATCCTTAAGTAGAGAAAACGTGTGCAGGCTCAAGTGAGGAAATATTTGAGAAGCTGGAAAACATGTAATGTTAGGAGCACACACTGTGGGAAGAGCTGAGGAGGGAGGCTGGCAGGGTGAGGTGGGGGCAGAGTCTGAGGCACAAGCAGGCATTGGCACCGCCGTACTCTCAGAGCATCAGCGATACACTGAAGGGGTTTTTAAGTGGAAAACGGCCGGTGGCCTTTTGTAGAATCATTGTTGCTTTTGTATGGAGGATAACTAGGTAGAGGCCAAGTCCAGAGATCAGGGTAATGAAGAGCAGCTAGAAGAGCCCAGGTGTCAGTGTGGTGGCCCAGATAGGATGGCAGCACAGATGGAGAATGGGAGGATGATTTAAATATATATATTAGAATGAATAGGATTCATTCTATTGGTTGGGTTGAGAAAGAGAAGAATCAAAAATAGCTCCTTAGTTTCTGGCTTGTGAAAATGAGTAGAAGGAGCCAGACATGGAAGCACAGGGCTGTCATCCCAGCACGCCTGAGGCTAAGGAAGGAGGATTACCACAAGTTCGAGGCCAGCTTGGGCTACATAGTGAGGTCAAGGCCAGCCTGACCTACACAGTAACACCTTGTCTCAAAAAAAAAAAAAAAAAAAAAAAAAGATAAAAGCTCCACTTACTGAGACAGAAAATACAGCAGCATTTTTTTGTTTTTTGTTTTCTTTTTGAGACAGTCTCACTGTGCAGTTCAGGCTGGCCTTGAGCTCACTTTGTAGCCCAGGCTGGTCTCAGACTCACATTGATCCTCCTGCCTCAGCCTCTTGAATTCTGGGATCATGGGCGTGGGCTACCACATCAGGTTAGAAGCAGGCTTGAGAGGGAGCACAAGATACAGTTTAATGTGTGCAGAAGACATCATAAAGGCTGAATATGGAAGTGTATAATTCATGAAAAAATTAAAGTACGAAAATCAGATATGAGGAATTATAGCTAGGTCATATACAAGCAAATTGACTGAGCCAACATATGTGAGTGCCTGAGACGAGCAGGGCTACAGAAAGCACAGAAACGTTCTGATGAGAGAGCACCTGTCTTCACAGAAGGTAGTGTGCAGCTGCGGAGATAAATGTTCACTGAGCTGCAACCCAGGGCGCAGTATGAACATGAAGAGGGACCTGTAGACTGAGTGTTGGGGGAATATAGGAAAGAAAATGCTTTATCAGAGTGGCTTCACGGATTGGGCTTTGAACCGAACCTCAAAGGGTAAGGAAATGCCAGAGAAAGTTGTTTTGCACTTAGGGAATGACAGAGACACAGAAACCTGAAATTATCTAAGTGTCTGTTCTGAGTACAGTGAGTGGGTGGTATGGCTGGAGCTTCACATTCTTGGAGTGTGATACACAGTTTTTGGGTGTGCACATAAAACTGGAAAAGTACTTGGAGGCCAATGAGGCTGACTTTGAGTAGCATACCTACGGGTGTGTTTGGCACAAACAAGCGCTGTGCAGAGCTGAGAAGTATATGAGTCCTCTGACTCCTAGGTACATATTCAGTGTGCCTGTGTTGTTTCTGTTCAGGCACAGTTCTGGTCATCTTCAAATATTCACTTATTTAAATAAATAAAGTACTTTTATCTATATTCTCTCTCTCTCTCTTTTTTTTTTTTTTTTTTTTCCAGAACTGGGCATTGAATTCAGGCCCTTGCGCTTGCCAGGCAAGCGCTTATTCTACTGAGCCACCTCCCCGGCCCCCTTAAGTTTTTAGAGACAGGGTCTTGCCATGTAGTTCAGACAGTCCTTGAATTCACAAGTTTGGCCTCAAACTTGTAGCAATTCTGCTTCAGCCTCTTGAGTACTAGGATGACAGGTGTGCACCACCGCACCTGACTTTTTTAGACAGGGTCTTGCTACATAGCCCAGGCTGCCCTTGAATGCGTAGTGATTCTCTGCCCTAGCCCCCTAAGTGCTGGGATTACAGGCATGCATCCAAATTTAAATGATTCTTCAACTGTGAAGACTAACTGCAGAATATTTTGGGACCATTTTAAGTGTTCATTAAGATTGGGACAAGGGAGGTAGCTCAGTGATCTAAAACTTGCCATAAACGCATGAGGCCATGTTTTCAAGTCCCCAGTATGAACAATGGCTTCAAGCTACATATTATTTTATTTTATTTTTTTGAGACAGGGTTACCCTATGATGTTCAAGTTGGCTTAGACTCACTGTGTAGCCCAGACTAGCCTCAAACTCAGGGCACTCCTCCTGCCTCAGCCTTCCAAGTGCTGCTGGGATTATAGTGGTACGTCACCATGCCTGGCTGAGTTATGTGGTTTAAAATAGAGCATATGGGGGGCCTGGCCCTAGCTCAGTCCTTTCAGTGGCTGCTTCCACAAAGCTGTCAGCCTCAGGTTCCTGGAGTTCGAACCTCACAACTCTCCCGCTGGCCAAAAGTGCCCTGAAGGCATTCGAGGAAGGGAAAAAACAAAACAAAACAAAAAACCCTTATAAAATAGAGCATATGGTGTGTGATGTTGGTTTACTCAATGACTCTGCAAGGGGGGTGTCAAGTGAGGTTATATGTCTGTTCAGTCGGAGGCAAAGCAGTGTTAAGTTCCTCAAATTGAGCTGTGTTGGACATACCTGTAATCCCAGTTCTCTGGGAGGCTGAAGCAGAAGGGTCACAAGTTCAGGACCAACCCCTAGGGTGACTTAGCGAGACGCTAGTTATAGCTCAGGGTAGAGGGCCTATGTTCAGTCTCCAGTACTGGGGAAAAAAATTAAAAACTATGCAGTGCAAGTCATCTTCCTCTTCCCACAGAGCTCAGTTGAGTTAGTGGATAACTAGGATATCCACTATCCATATTGCAGAAGACAGAATACATCATGCTTGATGAGGTGTAACAGCTATTTGCACAGAAAATAGATACGATTCTTACTCTCCAGAGCTCTACTGTTTGGGTAAAACTAGTGGTGTACTATAAAGTAGTGCTCCAGAAAAAAGAAAGCAAAAGCCCTGATTTGTGGTGCTTGTCACTATTTGTGGTGTGTTCTGAGCCTTGTTGATCCCAAGCTACTAGGCTCAGAGCTGAGAAGAGATGCTCGCAGTTCTTAGGAGTGGGCAGAGGGGAATCTGGCATGAATCACAAATACAAGAAAACCTAATAGCGGAAGTGTTCTTCCTCCTCTTCCTTCTCCTTCTCCTCCTCTTCCTCTTTCTGTTCTTCCTCCTTTTCCTCCTCTTCTTCCTCCTCCTCTTCCTTCTTCTTCTTTTTTTAACATTTATTTAGTGTGTGTGTGTGTGTGTGTGTGTGTGTGTGTGTGTGGCCAGCTCAGCCCACCAGGGGGCGCGGCTGGCTGGCATGTGGTGCTGGGGGATTGAACCGCGGTCCCTGTGCTTTAGACAAGCTTGTTCCAAGTAGGTGCTTTAGACCACTGAGCCATCTCTCCAGCCCCCTTCCTTCTTCTTTGAGACAGGGTCTTGCTAGATACTTCAGGCTGGTCTTGAACCCACTATGTAGCATAGGCTCAACTTATGGTGATCATCCTGCCTCAGCCCCCCAAGTGCTGGGATTACTGGTGTGCTCTGCCATTCCCGTGCAAAAGCATTTCTGACAAAATAAGAGCCCGTGTCTGCCTTTCTCGCTGTCAGCCCATCTCAGTGCTGCGACCATGAAGGTACTCGCAGAATTGGTAGCTATCAGCCTGATGTTCCTTTGGTTGCCATCTTTCAAGGCAGATGAAGTTACTCACACTCCCATGTTTCTACCAGCAGCCCCACAGACCTGACTTCATGTGAAAAATGGCAAATGCAGAAGTGAGTGTCCCAGTGGGAGATGTCGTTGTGGTCCCCACTGAAGGAAATGAAGGGGGAAACCCAGAAGACACGAAGACCCAAGTGATCTTGCAGTTACAACCTGTGCAACAGGGGTAAGTGGCTAGAGATCTGGGGGATTTGAAAAAATGTTAGCTTTATGGTTGCTTAGTACAATGAAACATCCAACCCCAGAGCTGGCTGAGTTTTTGTTTTTTTTTTAAATTTTATTTT